GTTACCAAAGTAACGAAAATTCTCATACAACAGAATACAACTTTGTGAAGTGATGTAATATATTGTATTGTAATGTATTCTTCCATTTCTGAGCATGTGTGGTCCTGGTCACTTGATTTTTTTCTGACAAATACTGTACTGATTAAACAAAATTCGTTTGTTTCAGTATTGTACAAGAAAAATGATCATGCATGTTCCTTCAGATAATTTCACTGTCATCATTTGCTCTTGAAAGCTGTGTACTAACGATCAGATTATCAGACGATCGCTCTGAACGCGGTATTTTTTCATCAGATTTTCTCATTGTGTGTGCTAGGCTTAAGGGAGAGGAGACTGAAGGAATGTCTACATTAGAATAATAACATCAGGTCAGCCTAGGCTGTCTTTAGCCTGGAATAAAGAACTACTTTTTTTTTTAATAATAAAGGTTTTTTTTTTTTTATTGTTCCTGCATATTATAGCATTTCAGAAATTTATGGTGGCATCCTTTCAATAAACGCTATAAAAGAATTTTGACATTTGACACTTTTTAAGCCTTTTCTTAGCCTTAAATGACAGCTTACAGTGTTTTGACAACAGAGATTTACAATGTCAAAAATGTCATGATCTGCATTGCAACTTTTACTATACAGTATTTCTGAATGTTACCAGATCCTTTATGGAAAAACCCCTTTGTGTTGCAGTGGGGTCTTAGCCATTGAACCACATCATATGGGATATACCATTTCCCTCCTATGAAATATGGAAGAAGAAGAAAAATGAATGGTAAAACACCACAGTGGGCAGAAGTATTCTTTATTATTAGGGTTTATTGTTCCCAGAATGAAACTTTCCTTATCCATCAGTTTAACAAGCAATAAAGATGTCAAGCCCTGATGCTACTGACAGATGTCAAATACTGGACAAGTGGGTCTTATAAAAACAGATACCTCCCATGTGGAGTCCTAGTGACCAACTGCTTTCCCACAGTCCCCCTTGTTTTTGGAATACATGACAGACCACCAACTTTACTAGACACTCCCCTGACCAACAATGGAAAATGCCAGTCCCCAAAAATAGACTGTCGCAGCAGTGAAAGTGACAGCTAAAAATAGCTGTGATGACGTCACCTGCTACGTGCAGCACTACAGTATAGGTTTGCGATGTGCAAGTCTCTTCATTTCCTTTCGACACTGTTGAGTATCCAGGCTTCTACAGCCAGCTGATATACATACCTTTTATCTTTCACAAGGGTAGCATGACTTTGGCTGTCTTATCCCAGCTTTGATTGCCACAGATCAATGCAGTACAAGAGCTAAATCAATGTGGATTGTGCTGCAGGGTGATCGGATATCGTAGAAGAGCACTGAAGGAATCCTATGAACCTCTAGATAAGCCTCTGATTTCTGCTTTATCACCAATATCCCTCTGTTAACAACAAGGGCAAGGCTAGGAGCACAAAGAAAAGCCAGACACAGCAGATGTGTACCTATTATTAATGGCACACACATAAAACCCTGGCACAGCAAGTCTATCTTTATCCTGTAGTTTAATGAACACATTTGTGTGCCCACCATAACAGTAGTATCTGCCCTGGATTTATATTTGCAGAGGGGGAAATGCTGGTGTATGCTGAAATGAATGGACAGTATCTTCTAGCTGTGGATGGGGCACAAGAGCAGAATGTTAATCATGGCAACTGAAGTCTTTTTTTTTTTTTTGGAAGTGACTTCTACATGTAAGACCATCAGAGCAGCTTTCAAAGGGCATATTCCTCATTCCAGATCCTTTATATTGCAGCATGAGCTAGACTTCCATCTGAACACAAGGAAGCAGCAGAGATCTTAAAACTGAAGACTTCTTCTGCATTGTGAAACTGCTGATAGGTTACTTGGTTCTCCTTGTACCTAGCAATCACCTGTATTTATATAAATAGAATAGAATTATATTAATAGCCTACAGAACCCTAAATCACCAAAAAGAAAGCCCCCTTTAAATTACTAACAGGGGCTTATATAGTGCTGTTAATTTATACAGTGCTTTACATATATATTATACATTCACATCAGTCCCTAACCCTCAAGGGGTGTACAATCTAAGGTCCCTAACTTACATTCATACATACACATACTAGGGCCAATTTGGACAGGATCCAATTAACCTACCAACATGTCTTTGGAGTGTGGGAGGAAGCTGGAGTGACTGGAGGGAACCCACGCTGGCACAGGGAGAACATGCAGGCTCCAGGCAGGTGGTGCTGTGGTTGGGATTTGAACCAATGACCCTAGTGCTGCCAGGCAGAAGTGCTAACCATTTAGCCACTGTGCTACCCCATATATATTGTACATGCACATCAGTCCCTAACCCTCAAGGAGCTTACAATCTAAGGTCCCTAACCAGTGGCATCCCGAGGCAGGTGCGGGGGGGGTGCACGCCGCACCAGGTGACACCTACCGCATGGGGTGACACCGGACCTGCTCCATGAAAAGGTAAGTTATAAAGCATGCCAATGATCCCTGCAGGATTGATCAGATCTGCGGATTGGGGAGCATAATGGATCGGACTCCGATCCATTATGCCCAATCCGCAGATCCGAACCATCCTGCGGGGATTGGCGGCATGCAACCTATACCAGGTGACACTGGACCAGCTCTACGAAAAGGTATGTTGTAAAGAAAGCCGACAATCCCTGCAGGATGGATCAGATCTGCGGACTGGGGAGCATAATGGATCGGAGTCCATCCATTCTGTGGGGATCGTCAGAGGGGGTGACACCAGCCCTAGGGACACCCCTGTCCCTAACTTACATACACATACTAGGGCCAGTTAAGACAGGAGCCAATTAACCTACCAGCATGTCTTTGGAGTGTGTGGGAGGAAACTAAAGTACCTGGAGGAAACCCACACAGGCAGAACATGCAAACTCCAGGCAGGTGGTGCTATGGCTGGGATTTAAACCAATGACCCTAGTACTGCCAGGTGGAGGGGCTAACCATTTAGCCACTACGTTGCCCTTGTTAGTATACAGGATTTATATAGTGTGAACAGTTTGTGCAGTGCTGTACAGTATAAAGGGAGACAGTACAATTACAATACATCTCAGTACAGAAGAAATAGGAGGGCCTTGATCATGGAACTTACAATCTAAAGGACAATACATTTATTTTTAATTTTTTGCACCCCATTAAGACTTGACTTTCATTGTGCTAATAGAAGACAATACCTCTGTCCAATTAAGGGTTAATTTATGGAAATGCTAGTGCCTCCCCATTTCCCTCTCTTTCTCTGCTCATCCTTTGTTGTCTGTTAATCTCCCAATTCCACAAATCCCTACACACCCAGAGCTCAGGGTTTTGTCTTCTCTGTCTCCCATGTAGCATCAAGTCATGGAGTCACATCAATCACACCACTATTGTATCTCCTGAGCACTAATTGCTTCCTATTAAGTGCTGCTGCTGCAGTGGACAATGGCAGAGTGGAAGGAGAAAGGTTGGGCATGGGGCTCTTTGATTTGTAAAAACTTGCTCACATTACAAGGACATTGTTTGACAATCTGCTTGCACCAAAGCAGCTTTTGTTTCTGACATTTTTCATGTAATATGTTTTGCAGTGAAGTGGTAAGCAGTGGCATGCATTGCTTATGTAAGGATTATGGCCGCATGCACACTGTATTCTCTATGATGCCTTTTCTCCTACAGGAGTTTAGCAGCAGAAAAAAAGCATTAAAAAGTTGCAATTTTGCATGTGCGTTGACGCATGTTTATGTGCATTCACACATTTGGCGTTAAATCATTCCATTGGCCAGAACGTAAATTTATTCTGGGCATTAGAATATATTAACTCACAAATGCACATAAACTCATCTAGCATTACTGCACATTTATGCACATTTAGGCGCTTTTGAGCATTTTTTTTTTTTGCTCAAAATCTCATCTCCTGAATTCAAGTTTGTTATCCATGCACACTGGTTTGAAAATCTCTGCTTCTACAGTTGTTTTGTGTTTTGCCTGTAGAAGCAGCTCAGTATAAGTCTTCACGCACTCTGGACATTTTGATAACGCTGGTAACGTTAGCTGTGTAAAGTCACGCTAAAAACTTGAGTTTTTCAGCTTCTTTTAGCATTTTTGCATTAGCATTTAGCAACGTTTTTCCATGTTTGCATTTTTAGTGTTTTCTTGACCCCCCCCCCCCCCCAAAATTTTTTTTGGGGGGTGGTCAAAAAAACACCCAAAAACGCCGGTTTGCAGCAGTTTTTCAGCATTAGAGTGTTTTTACAGCTAAAAAAACTCCTCTAGAAACCTACTAGTCCTGGATTGTTTTTCTAGCCAAAAAAACCTCCCTGCCAAAAAACGTTGATTACAGTTTATGTGTGTATGGACACATAGGATAACATGCTGGGGGGTTTATCAGCTGTAGAAAAAAACATCCAAAGCCAAAAACAGCAACTGTAAAAACGTCCAGTGTGCATAAGGACTTTCACATGGACGATCCATCCCTATCCTATGTCCTCTTTCATTGCCATCCCATCCAATTTGATAGATGGAAGGGGAATGGATCCCCATCCATCTCTTTTTTGTGGATCAGATCGGATTGGATTTCGGTGGGTGTAAACGGACACATATCCGTTTACACCTACCACTCCATACAGGAGAACAGAGGTTCCAATCTGGTCCGCCTGGCCATTTTTCAGGTGGACCCGTTTGCAACCTCTGTTCACCTGTATGGAGTGGCGGGTGTAAACCGATATGTGTCCATCTACACACACCAACATCCAATTCCATCTGATCCACCAAAAAGAGATGGATGGAGATCCATTCCTCTTCCGTCCATCGGAATGGATGGGATGGCATGGAATCGGACAGGCAGTTCTTTTCTATCTGACCGCCCATAGAGGACTGTGTCTGTGTTCACTTTGCAGCAGCGGAGAGGACACAGACCTGTCATTCGCTTGCTCAGCGGCGATCAGCGGAGGGATCCCCCGCTGAGCAAGCGGATCCAAGCGCATGTGTCCTGATGTGCCCTGATGATCAGTGTAGCCCCATCAGTGCCACCTGTCAGTGCCCATCGATGCCACCTATCAGTGCCTACCAGTGCACATCAATGCCACATATCAGTGCCCATCAGAGCTGCCTTTCAGTGCCAACTATCAGTGCCAGTCAGTGCCACCTATCAGTGCCAGTGAGTGCCACCTATCAGTGCCAGTCAGTGCCACCTATTGGTGCCAGTCAGTGTCGTTTATCAGTGCCAGTCAGTGCCACCTAACAGTTCCAATCAGTGCTGCCTATCATTGCCAGTCAGTGCAGCCTATCAGTGCCATCTATCAGTGCCATATATGAGTGCTGCCTTTTCAGTGCCCATCAGTGATGCCTGTCAATGCCCACCAGTGATGCCTGTTAATGCCCATCAGTGCCACCGACTAGTGCCTCCTCATCAGTGCCGCCTATCAGTGCCCATCAGTGTAGCCTCATTAGCACACATCAGTGAAGTAGAAAAATTACTTATTTACAAAATTTTATAACAAAAACTAATAAAAAAAAATTTTATTTTTTTTTAAATTTCAGTCTTTTTTACTTTTTTTGCAAAAAATAAAAAAACACCAAAGGAAAGCTCTATATGTCTAAAAAAAAAAAAAGGAACAATTTTGTTAGGGTACAGTGTTGTGTTACTGCACACTTGTTATTAAAGTGTGACAGTGCTGAAAGCTGAAAATTAGAGTGGGCAGGAAAGGGGTAAAAGTGCCCAGTAGGCAAGTGGTTACTATGTTACTGTAGCACTGGTCCCCCACACCCCCCGATCCCCTGTTGTGACAGTGAGCGGGTAATCTTCCCATCTCCGGCCTGGCCGCATAATTCATTTACAGGGTTCTGTGAATGGGAAACTACAAGTACAGACAGTCTTTGTGGCTGTCAGCTTGTAATTCTCAATGAACTACCAGGGCGCTGTTGAGCACTCTGGTAGGTCGTCATTGATTCTTCCTATCAGTGTAAAACTGCCTGTCTCTACAATGTATGATGTATGGTCGCTTACACTGACAGTCTGCAGGAGTCCTGCATGGCACCAGCGATCTGCTAATTGTGGGTGCAATGCTTTCTAGGCTCCTATAAAAAAAAATAGTAAATGCACATTTTTTTAACTGCAAAAAATATGCATTTATTTATTTTTTTAAAAAGTGAACTTATCCTTTAAAGCAGTAATAAAATTAAAAATTAAAAAAAAAATTCTGACAGGCAGGTTTTCTTCTGCCATAAACACTTCCTCCTGCCTGCCAGCCATCATGTATATTGAGCCATACATGCGCAGCTCAGAGTACATCACAGCAGCTGCTCTGTGCCGAGTTGATGTGACTCCCATGTGCATGCATAAGAGTGATGTCATCACAGCCTGGCCATTCAAGTGGCCGACAAGAGAGCACCCAGAAGGAAGAACGGGTGAAGATGGAAGCATCCTTGCATTGACAGCCTAGCACAGGAGGTCTTTCTTTGACAGGTAAGTCTGTCGCTATGTGCTAGTATGTGGTGCATACTGGTACATTATGGCATGAAGCTGAAAGTGGCCTGGAAAAAAAATGAAATGTTTACTACCACTTCAAGCTGGCCATACACTGTTATTTTTCTAGCCAGCAGGCAGATTCCTCTATCCACACAAATGAGATGGAAATGCCACAACCATGACCTTGTATTCTAACAGTGGTACCCATCAGTGTCTAAAGTCAATGATTGATGAAAGATTCCCAGCATTAAAATTCATCCGTTCCCCACTGAATCAGGTATGGTCAGCTTTAGACTGTCCCCTACTAGTGCCTGTCATGCAGAATTAGAATTCTTTTTGGCAATTTTCATTTTTGGAATGTTGTCCTTTGATATGCTAATGGTTAACGGGGTCAGACCAATGTTTGTCTTTGATCACAGTGACAAGAAAATTTGGAGGAGTAGGATGGAAAATTTTTCTCAACCATACCAAATCCTAACTGTGAATGTGGTTTCCATTCGGGAAAAAAATGTTCATATTGTAATAAAACATGTTTAATATGTCTGGTATTCCATTCAGATGGCAGGTCTGGATGAAATTTTATGGCTTTCAAATGTAATTAGTCGACTCAGTGATGGGAAGAAATAATGTTCTGACCAATGATTTTACAGAATTTCAGTTGAATGAACATCTAACCATGTATGGCCAGCCTAACATTTTAGTGTGCTATGTATTGCAATGAATTGATGTGATGTGAGACGTAGCATGCACTGCTTATGCAAGGCTAATTATACTGTCACTGATTTGTTTGTGTATTGACAGGCATAAACATCCTTTGACATCACCTGAGCTGATAAAATACATAACATTATTAAACTAGGTTTATTTGCACTATTGGTGGTCTGGTGCTTATGTTATTGATGTCCCATTTTATTGACATTGTTAATAAACAAGGTTTATTGCACTTATGCTGACACTGTTATTAGTTTTATTGATGTCCCATGTCAGTTTCCAAGCATGGTGTGACATTGGAGTTGATTTACTAATGCTGGCCATACACTCAGTGAATTTCATCCAGTTCTTGATGAACAAGCTGAAACCCTCTTAGTGGGTGTCCCTGCCAGCCCCACTCTGTTCAACTAAAGTTGCTTAAAGTGGTTGTAAACCTCAGACATTTATTATGAACAAAGCATATCCCTCTATAGTGTATACTTGTCTCAATTAAGAGCACTAAGTGCTATTTCTGTCAGCTGCTTTGTTCCTCTGTTATCAGCTTGAATCAATTCTGGCAAGTTTTCCTGACACCAAGAGAAAAATGGTGGCAGCAGATTGACAGCCTCAGCTCTGCTCCTGTGTGTTGTGTGGAGGGGGTGTGTCACTTCCCTCCAATCAGCTCTCAGAGCTCCTGCAGAATGTAACTTCAGCTCTCCATCCTGTTTTCTGAACTCTCAGACAAGCTTTAACCAGTTGCTGACTGCCCCATAGCAGATGTACTGCTACAGGGTGGCCACACTGCAAAATCACATATGTATACATGATTTTTTATTTCTGGGTAGGGGGATACGCACTGCTCTACATACACTGTCTTTGGCTCCCGGAAATGTGGCCCAATGGAAAATTTTCATACAAACATCAGCTGTATCCAATCAGATGCAGCCATGGGTTGGATATTCTGAGAGCCACTGCTGGTGGTTATCGGTGGTTATCATCACAAAATATCCCAGGAAAGGAATTCATCCATTAATGCTGTTTAGCGTAAATGGAGGAATCTGGTTTCCTTCATTCAACCCACAGATCCCTCTTATCACACTAACAAGCATAGCTGGATGAATTCTCCTTATGGGCAGGGCTGGTGCTTCTACTAGGCAAACTAGGCAGCCGTCTAGGGCACACTGCCACCTAAGGGTGCCTGGGCACAGCACAGGCCAGCACTCTCTCTGTGTTTGATGCTGCCATGTCATGAATGATCCTTCAGCTGAGGGGAAGGGCAAGGGAGGGGTGGTAGAGGAGAGGAAGAAAGGGCAGAGAAAGATTCCGGGTGTCTGGGGCCAGTGTAGCAACTGAGCTGCATGTCCTTCCAGTGTTCCTCTCAGACTCAGTCCCTTACTGCAAGCATGGCTGCTGATCACTGTGGAGTTCCAGCCCTTCTCTTCCCATTCATCAGTGGAGGTGGAGCTGCACCTACGGAGGAAGATAATGTCTAACTCTGATGTCTCGAGTCGTGTGAGTGCAACCCAGCCAGCCGGCCATCAATCACATGTGCAATGTGTCAGTGAGTGATGACATCATCATGATCCCACAGCCTGCTCTTCTAGTGCCTGCTGGGCTTGCTGATCTGTGTCAGTGTTGGTGGTGGTGTATTGCGCTGGATCTGTCACTGTGTGGGATCACTCAGTTCAGGTGTGCTCTGTGTGTGTGTGTGTGTTGGGGGGGGGGGGGCAGGGCTGCCTGCTGTCACAGTGTTTTATCTTCCCCCATTGCCTCCTCCCCCTGTCCTGCCCCGACTTGGCTTTGACCGCCTACAACAATGCGCTCTCAACAGCCCTTGACTCACTAGCGCCTTTAACCACACGCAACATCAGACCCCGACCGCTCCAGCCCTGGCAGACTGATCACACCAAAACCCTCAAACGACACAGTCGTGCCCTGGAGCGACTATGGCGCAAAACCAAATCCCAACAAGCCTTCACCCGCTACAAATCTGCCTTCCGCACCTACACCTCCTCCCTCCATGCTGCCAAACAGGCCTACTTCTTGACCCTCATCAAGGCCCTCTCCTCCAATCCTCGCCGACTCTTCTCTGCCTTCAACTCTCTACTCTCTCCACCCCCACCTCCACCCAGCACCTCACTCACTGCCCTTGAGATTGCCAATCACTTCAAAAACAAAATTGACACAATTCGCAAGGACATTGCCGCAACTCACACGCCCTCTCAACCCGTCCCCTCTCACACAGCTACCCCCTTATCCCCCCTCCCCCTCGACATAACCCGCAGGGACTTCGTCGCTGCTCAAACTCTCTCCAACCCCCTTCACCCTCACTCAGCTACCCCCTCATCACCCCTCTCCCACAGCCCCACCACTGCTCTGACCTCCTCTTCCACCCCACCCTACATTCCTCATACTGAAGCTCCCCCAACACTCCACACCTTTGACCTTACTACCATCGAGGAAGTCTCCAAGATCCTCTCTGATGCCCGCCTCACCACCTGCCCCCTCGACCCTATCCCCTCACAACTCCTACGACCTTCCTCCTCCTCCATCCTACGCTCCCTCACCCACATCTTCAATCTCTCCCTCTCCTCAGGCACTTTCCCCTCCCCTCTGAAACATGCACACATCACCCCCATACTTAAAAAGCCCTCCCTGGACCCCAATGACCCGAACAACCTCAGACCCATCTCCCTGCTCCCATTTACATCTAAACTCCTCGAGCGCCTAGTCTACACCCGCCTATGCTCTCACCTCAACGACAACAACCTCCTCGATCCCCTACAGTCCGGCTTCCGTCCCCTACACTCCACCGAAACTGCCTTACTCAAACTCTCCAACGACTTGCTAACCGCCAAAGCTAATGGCCACTATTCAGTGCTCCTACTCCTTGACCTCTCTGCGGCCTTCGACACAGTCGACCATCCCCTTCTCCTCAAAAAACTACACTCCCTCGGCCTCAGAGATTCTGCTCTCTCCTGGCTCTCATCCTACCTGTCACAACGCTCCTTCAGCGTTACCTATAATGCTACCACCTCCCCCTCACTCCCCCTCTCTGTTGGGGTCCCTGAAGGCTCTGTCCTCGGGCCCCTTCTCTTCTCCATCTATACCTCC